TGCTAGTTCTTTCCACAGCTTGGGTGGAAAGCTCTGGTTTCCCACACAGAGAATTTAAAGATCTGAATCTGAGTGTTTTTTCTTTACCAGTAAGAGTGCAGAGATCATACCAGTATCACTTGTTCTCTAACGGCAACAACGCAGAGACCTTGATCAACACCTCACACAAATACAGATATCCATCACCACCCCTTTAGATCTGCCTTTTGATTCTTTAAAAACAGAGGATGTCCTTCTAGGGCCTCCTCTGGAAGATATATTAGAAAATCCACAAAGCAGAGCTATGGTATATAGACCACCATATTGATGTTAAAGACTTGAACTCAAGTTGACTGAAGTTTATGGGAGAAATCTTCTATGGACTTGGGTCAGGTCCTCTGATGAGTCACAGTGTGCTGATGACATTGGGGTATGACAATGACAAGTTCAACTTCAGGCTCTGTTGTGCTTTGAATAACGTGAAAAGTCTTCTGTGGAGCCCATCTCTTACTTGGTCATCCCGCTGACTGGACACAGATTTGGAGGAGGTTTAACCCAGAGCGGAGCTTGGCTTTCACAATATGTGCATTAAATTTACTTTAAGAGTTTGCATTTCATTTCAGGATGATCGACTGGGTGTCCTGGCCCCTGGGAAAGAACATAGACAAGTGGATCATTGCTCTGCTGAAGGGTTTGGCCGCCGTGAAAAAGTTCAGCATCTTGATTGAAGTTACTCTTTCGAAAATTGAAAAGGTCAGTGGGCTCTTTTAAACACAGATGTGAACAACAGACTTCTCTGTGCACCTGAGATATCTTCTTGCCTCTCAGCTGAATGAAGATGAGATGTGACTTGAGATGTGTAGAAAAGAGAAAAGAGGTTTTGAAAGGACCATTGTGCCCCCTGTACTCTCTGCGAACGCTGCGTTGCTGTGTATGGGGTGGTGGGCTGATGCCATTTTTGCAACCAGGAGTGATGTTCTCCAGAACAACCTGCAGTTCTTTAGGTCTTGGTTTGCAAAGGTACTTATGTCATAAAAGTTATGAAGTAAAACAGGACAAGGATTTCCAAGCCACCCAAACAGTTTTCTTCTCAAACTGTGGAGCCCTTGTACAACCTGCCTTTGGGAACATGACACGCTCTCCTTCGTCTGTGGCTGGGTCAGTGGTGGTTGGCATGGGCAAAATACATACCAGTGAGCATGCTAACAGTCCACACAGTCACAGGTCAGCTTTAAAGCCTGTGCCCTGGCCTTAGTTCATTTACCAATGCAGATAAAGCCCCCACTGCCATTGCCATCACCTGTTTTGGCAATGAGTACTTGCTGCTCTCTGAAAACCGTGTAACCAAGCGCTGAAATTGGCCACCACTTCAGAAACATTTTTTATGCTGTGGTTCTTCTATTCCTTCCTTTGTAAGATGGGGATAACACCTGGCTGAGCCTCCAGTGGAAGCCACCATAGAAGCTGTCAATACCATAATTATCAGTATTGGCACATTATTGATAACTGCATTTGTCCCTGTGATCCTCCATGTTCACAGAATCACAGAATGGTTAGGGTTGGAAGGGACCTCAAAGACCATCTAGTTCCAACCCCCCTGCCATGGGCAGGGACACCCTCCACTGCACCAGGTTGCTCAAAGCCTCATCCAACCTGGCCTTGAATGTTCAACGAGCAGTGGGAGAGTAGCCAGGCATCTCTGGCTTTTCTTTATGATTTCTTTTGTTGTCATTGCATAGGAAAGGGACACATCCATTAAAGGAACATGTGATTCTTGGAAACTCTCAGAAATATGGTCTGAAAGGGATAGAGGACATTGTCAACTTACATGATTTTCTGTGAACTAGGATAAATGTCATTACTTAGCCTTTGAAAAAGGCCTTTGCTTTCTATCTCTTTCCTTGAAAGGTTAGTGATAAAGTTCCAAATATTGCAATAAAACAGAAGAGCCACATTTTAAAAAATCTAACATCTCTCTGTGCATGCATACGTCCATCAGGAGGTGTGGAGATGCAGCGGGGTTTAGCCCAGAGCTCTGCACCTCATTGTGCCAGGCATTGCACAGGCCAGAAAGTGTGAGGATAACCCACATGGTATATTTAGGATGCCCTGAGGCCACGCTCTGGACAGGAGATGACCCTGGAGACCTGACTGCAGGCTGCTTGCTTTGACATCCATCATGGAGTAGGGACAGACCAGCAGCTGTGGTAGATGCCCAGTGTCTCTCTTTCCTGGTGACCACTTCTCCCATGTATTGCGATGCCATCCTGCCTTCTCATTTGCTTTTTTTCTCCCCCACCAGGTCTTTTCCAAATTGCTGTATCCCATCGTGAGAGAGGGAGCTTTGTCTGTCCTGCAGTACATGCTGCTGAGCTTCCAGCACTCCCACGAGGCATTTCACTTGGTAAGGCTGTGTCTGGCACTCGGATGAAGGCATCAACCCAAGTATAACCATGGGGCAACACGGGTGGGAGGGAGCCTAAGGTGCTGAGATAGGGAATATTTCCCTCATCTGCTTGATTTTGCTGAGTGATGTAAACCCAACCCTGTCTGCCAACTTGCAGCCTGTCCTGGCAGCTGCTCACCCTCTCCTACAGCCCAAGCAGCTTTTTGGGGCACCATGAAGCCAGTGCTGAGATGCAGAGGCAAGTCCTGAGCCCAAAAGTGGTTGGTTGCCACAGACAGAGCAACCACTCTATGTCAGAGAGCGAGGGGCAGAGGAGAAGTGAGACTTTGCTTTCTCCTCTGACTGTTTCTTCCATTTCTCTTGAGGCTTATCAGCTGGATGGCTTATCTCCAGAAATAAATCAGTGTAAAGTTGATTGGGGCTAGACCCTTCCGGATTTGAAATGGGTGCAATGACTGTATGCTCCTCTTTTTTTTCCACTGTGCTCTACCAGCTGGAGCGGTGGTCTCTATTGGCAAGTGGATCCCCATGGTCCTCCCTCAACTTCGAAGCTCACCAGCTGAAGATGCAGTTAATGCAAATATGTTGGATGGCCTATCAAGCCACACCAAGGGTCTCAGCAGCAGTGGCTGTAGTGTTTTTGCAGTGGTTTCAACCTGGTGTTGGCAACCCTGCAGGTGGAAGAGGAGGTTCCTCTCTTCCCTGCTCTTGCTCTTAGACCACTTGCTTCTCCCAACCACTCTCCCTTGTGCCTAGTCATTTGTATGGCCATGTCCTGCACTGTGTTGTAAAAGGGGCCTGGGTGAAACCTAACCTAACAGAAAATCGTGGTGATTGGTACTGCCCAGCTCGGTCTGGGCCAACCAGAAAACTACACTACTGCATTTCCCTGGAGACAGAAGAGGGAGCAGGTGGATGTTTGGCCCAGGACAGGAAGGTGAGCAGGGCTGTGCTGACCCAGACTGACTTAGGATGTACTTTTAGGGTCAGGTTTAGAAGATATAGCCCCATGTTTCTTCTCACCCTTTCAGCTGAGGTGTTGCAGATGTTGCCACTCTGGGTCTGGGATGCGTTAGGTGAAGCCTTTGCATTGAGAATGTCTCGGAGGGCTCAGGCACTGGAGGACAGAGAATATATTCTTAAACAACCCTGGCTGTTTCCTAAGCAGGTGCCCAAGTGTCCCTTGGACTCACTGGGCACCATCCCACATGTGCCTTCAAAGTGTCACCAATATGTGGCACCCATTACCATTTCTTGAAGTGATGGAGCATCTTCCAAGCCGTTGCAGAGCATCATAGAATCACAGAATGGTTTGGGTTGGAAGAGACCTCAAAGATCATCTAGTTCCAACCCCCCTGCCATGGGCAGGGAAATCCTCCACTACTCCAGGTTGCCCAAAGCCTCATCCGACCTGGCCTTGAACACTTCTAGGGATGGGGCATCCACAACTTCTCTGGGCAACCTGTTCCAGTACCTCACCACCCTCAATGTAAAGAATTTCTTTCTTATATCTAACCTAAATCTGCCCTCTTTCAGTTTAAATCCATTGCCCCTTGTCCTATCACTACACGCCCTTGTAAAAAGTCCCTCTCCAATAGCATCTGAGCAATAAAACTTGAAGACTGGATGAGAATACGTCCACTTCTTGAATCCTCCACTGTTAAAATCAAAAACTACTTTTAGCAGCGTTTGAATCTCCTTTTTTCATTTCCACAGTGATATTTTATATTTTATTTTGCTGTTGACACTAAGGCACGGCTCTGCTTCTTGGTGGCGTTGCCTCTGGAATGCTATAATTAAATAGCAAGGCTGAAGGCAAAGGCATGCTTGCAGTGATTGAACTGATAAAAGAAGTAATGGAAAATTACTCCTATTAATGTTTGATTTTATACTTTTTCCTTACATTTGGCTTTTCACCTAGAGTTCACAGAATAAACAGATAAGGCTGGAAAAAAGCAAAGCCAGCCAACATTTTCGACTGATGTTTTTTCATTCCTCAGCTGGAGACACTTTAAATGAGCCTGAATTTCTTGAGAAACTCTTCGGTTTCTAAAAATAGGGTCGCTCCAACAGATTGTCTTCAGTTGGGCGTCCAAATTTTGAAACACTCCAAACGCTGTCGGTTGCTCTTGGCTTGAAGTTTCCATCTGCAGCCCAGCGAGCACAAATTTCCTCCCCTAGTTTTAAAAAACAGAGCACAAACCTGTCTTGCTTCTTATCTTTTTATGTTTGCCCTAACACTTTGGAATTGTTTTGAGAATTATTCCCACCACAGCTTGGCAAAATGTATAAAATGGTACTGGGATTCATTTGCTTGCCCAACAAAATTTTCCTGTTGGGAAGGAAATAGTTAAAATCTCCAGCATTTTGAGGAGAAAGAGGGAGAGAGAAAATGGAGAGGAAGATGAAGGGAAGAAGGGAAGACCAGGCAATGGCCACACTGGGGATCCTGAGCCTTTACTCTGGGATTGTTCTGGGATAAAAATCACGTAAAATATAAATATGAAGAAGGTTGCATAAGTGCCCAGGGTCACTCGAGCACATCTGCAGGGCTGGAAATAAGTTATTAATTGTTTGTGCAGCTGTGGGGTCACCAGAGGGTGCTCATGAGCAACGTATTATTTGTGTTTGTGCCTGCTTCTTAATTTTTAATTTTCCTAGATGAAAGGGAAATAACAAACGTGCCGTTTACGTGCCTGTCGCCACCCATCTCACCATTCCACTTCCAGTTTAGTTTATCCAGTATAAAATAAGATATAGCACACCAGATAGCACTTCTGGTAGGCTAATTCATCTGTCTTGTAGGCTTGAATCCGTGCAGTTGGTGGTCAGCATGTAGCACCACTGTGGGTGGGTGTTGTAGCAGAGGTTGATCTGCACAAAGAATGGAAATTGCAGCTCAGCAAAGTGGCAGCACAAACCTGCAGTTGTCACGCAACACGAAACTCTCCAAGGTCTATAGCACTTGCACTGCTCGAGTCAACAGAAGAGTTGCTGTTGAGTTCATAGGATGAAGGATGAAATCCAGAATGGGCCTGAAGTCAACTCCTGTTGACTGTCCTTTCTGCCTGGGAGTGAATCTCATTCCCCTGCACGTGTGTTAAAGCTCTGCGAGTAATTTGGAGCCATTTTTGATGCAGTGAATTTTCCTTTTCCAGCTGCTCCCTCACATCCCCAGGCTGGTGGCCTCTCTGAAGAAGGAGGACTCCAACTCTGCCACCAGCTCCCTGGAGCAGCTGGCTGAACTCATCCACTGCATGTTCTTTCGCTTCTCAGGATTTCCAGATCTCTACGAACCAGTCCTAGATGCGGTTAAAGTAAGACACGCACTTCTTGGCCATTTTTCTGTTTTCCACATGGAAATGGCATCTTAGTTTGCAGCCTAGTGCAGAGAGACTGTCCTGCTGGTAGGGGTGTCCTAACCTCAACGCCTCAAATTGTGGTAGAAGAAAGGGTTTAAAATTTGCAGTTTGAGCCCCATGTGGGCAAGTTGAGGGAAGAGACTTCTCTTATGGTGGGCCTGCAGGAGTCCTGGTTGTGTCTGTGGGTTTTAGCTATAGCTTTGGCCTGATAGTAGCAGCTAAACACTTCCTTGCATGGATGGGTGTTCATGCAAATAGCAGGGGAAATGTGTTGTGTGATCACCCCTAGCAGAGGAGTTTTTCAGTTGCTCGTTACCGATCCTTCACATGGAAAGATAACGATTCATAACACACATTTCTCTTTCCAAGGCTCTTCCTATTCCAAACGAAGACCGGATTAAACATCTCTTGGGACAAAATGCTTGGACGTCCCAGAAGAACGAACTGGCCTGCTTCTATCCACGCCTGGCATCCAAATCGGAGACGGGAAAGATCGGGTTAATAAATTTAGGAAACACCTGCTACATGAACAGCATCATACAGTCTCTTTTCATGGCTTCGGAGTGAGTTTTCACTCCCTCTCTCCCACTCAAGACTGCTCCGGGGTTGCTCGTGTTGCACGGTCCCGCGCTGATTTTCCATCTTACGGCTTACATCTCTGCTTTTCTTTTGCAGCTTTCGGCATTCGGTGTTGAATTTAACTGAGGGCAACTCCCAGCCCCTGATGACAAAGCTCCAGTGGCTCTTTGCGTTTTTGGAGCACAGTCAGGTAATTATTTCATGTTCTAGTTATTTGTTTGGACTGTCGGCTGCGGAAAGGCTCGTCTCCAAGTTGCTTCCTGCCAGCTCCAATGTGCTGATAAGGAGCTGTGGATCTTGGTGGGTTTTTATAACGGGACGAATTTTGTTTATACGAAAGAGGCTAATTTTGGGTGTGGAGGAGGCAAGCTCCTATCAGCCATGAAAACGAGCTGTGTTTGCACCAGGCTGCCTGTCTTCAGCCTGTGGCCTTCTTGGGCTGGACTGATGTAATAACTAATAGTTTTGATAATGAAATGCATTTGGTAATAGTTTGCATATGTGGCCAGCTGAAAAGCCTGCTGGTAGAAAGCAGAGGGTTTTGTTTCTTGCTATGCAGCAAGGAAGACGACTGGAGCAGCTCGCTTGTCCCCTTGCTTCACAGCAAAGCACAGGCAATTGATGAAAATCATAGACTCATAGAATCGTCTGGTTGGAAGAGACCTTCAAGATCATGGAGTCCAACCATTCACCCTGCACTGTCAGGGTCCCTAAACCATGTTCCTCAACACCACATCCACACGGTTTTTAAACACCTCCAGGGATGGGGATGCCACCACCTCCCTGGGCAGCCTGTTCCAATACTTCACAACCCTCTCTGTAAAAAAATTCTTCCTGATATCTAACCTAAATTTCCCCTGGCGTAATTCCCCGTCTCGTCCTGTCATTCATAACGTGGGAGAAAAGACCGACCCCCATCTCCCTACAACTTCCTTTCAGGTAATTGTAGAGAGTGATAAGGTCCCCCCTGAGCCTCCTCTTCTCCAGACTGACCAGTCCCAGCTCCCTCAGCCGCTCCTCATAGGACAAGTTCTCTAAACCCTTCACTAAAATCACCTTACAAGTGGTTTTGTTAAAGAAACCCCAAGCACAAACCTCCCTGCGTTAGATTCCAAATCTTCTGTATTTGAGGGAAAGTAAAAAAAAGCCAACAAAAACCCAAAAGACACTTAAACAAATTAATTATGAATGCTTTCTTGACAAACCTGAAATTTGACATGAGTGACTCCTGGAGATACACTTAGGGCATATCTACCTCCTCTCTTGAAAATGTGTCTTTCTGTCCCTAGAAAGACATGATTTTGGAAGTCCAGTGAATTTTCCCTCGCTGTGAAACCGGACATCTGGACTTCTCCTTTTTCCAAGCCTTGATTGATAGAGCTGGCTTGTTGCACTGTGGTATTACGTCATTACAGATGGCTTTTGGGTGAAAAATAGAGACAATCTGTTGAATTTAATATTTAGTCATAGAGAAGCCTGTTTTTTGAGGGAAGATTAATGTGTTTGTGATCCATGATGAGCAAATAAAGAAGCATATTTCCTTGTTGTGTAGTTTATGGTTAATAGTTTCCTGCTAGTTTCCTAATAGTCTTCTAGTTATTTTCCTTCTTCAGGCTGTTCTTAAAGTCATTTCTTTGCCAAAGATGAGTTTTTTTTCCATGATAATTAGACAGCAGCTTCCTAAGGGGAGCAATTACATTATCTGGTAACACAGATTACCTGCCTGCACTGATCAGAATCATAGAATGGTTTGAGTTGGAGGGGACCTGAAAGACCATCTAGTTCCAACGCCCCTACCATGGGCAGGGACACTCTCCACTACACCAGGTTGCTCAAAGCCTCATCCAGCCTGGTCTTGAACACTTCCAGGGATGGATGGTGGGTGGAAATTTAGTGGATTTTTTGCTTTGTGGTTTTTTTTTTTATGAAAGGATTTGGTGAGAGAGATCCTGATCAAATTAAATGGAGTATCAAATTAAATTCAGGCTGAATTAAATAGAAGTCTCTGGGTCAGACCAATAAACCATTTTAAAATTGAAGGAAGAAATAAATACATGGATATTTTATAGAAGTACATGTAGAATAATGACTGAAATTCATCCTTACAATCCTGGCTTTCATCAAACCAAGAAAGTCTTCTCATGCACTGGGATTAGCCTTTATAAGGGAAAAAAAGGGGACCTTATCAGGCACACAAGCACGCCCTGCTCCCAGTGAAGCAACCCAAAAGACTCCTCTCCCCTCTCCATCTCCTTCAGTGAAGTGAGAACCAAATCCCTGGGATTAAATGCACTTCTCCTTCTTTTGTATTGCTGCCAGCGACCTGCCATCTCACCCGAGAGTTTCCTCTCTGCCTCCTGGCCGCCCTGGTTCACCCCCGGCGCTCAGCAAGATTGCTCGGAGTATCTCAAGTACTTGCTGGACCGGTACGTGGCACGTGCCGTGATTTCGGAGCCTGGTGACAATGGCACCCCTAGACCTGGCGTAATGTTTAACGCTGACCCACGGGCAAACGGGGCAAGTGGCTGAGACCTGGAGGAGTTGTGAGAGTGGAGGCTTGGGGTGAAAGATGGTGAGACCAGTCCGGGGCTCCTTGATAAAACCCTGTTTGGGCCCTCTTGGGGTAAGGTCAGAACTTAGTTCAGCTTGAAAATGTCCACCTTTGCTCTGAAGGCAAAGGGAGTTGCACCAAATTCAGAGATTTGCCTGATAAGCCACTCAGCCTCCTCTGTAAAATTGATTTTGCCTTTCTCTTACCTAGAAATCCCAAATCCCTGCTGTCCATCCCAGTGATCCCCCTAGAAGTGAGGGAGTCAATGGCATATGGAGACCTCAGATTCCCAAATCCTGCCCAAATCCTCCCCATCCTCCTCCCACAGCACCAGACCCCTGGGCACAAGTGGGTTGACCCAGATTAATCCCTTTGAGTGGAGAAGAGAAACCCTACTTTAGAAATCACCTCTTGGTGTTTTATTGGTGTGTAACGCAGCTTTTTTTTCTCTGCCAAAGATTACACGAAGAAGAAAAAACTGGAAAAAGGATCTACCAGAAACTCAAGGAATCCAGCTTGATGTCTCAGGTGGTGGAGCATCATTACTTAAACAAGACATTGATTGAGAAGATGTTTGGGGGTAAAATGATGACAAAGATCCGCTGCTTGAAGTGTCTGAATGTCTCCTCCCGAGAAGAAGCCTTCACAGACCTGTCGCTGGCTTTTCCCCCTTCGGACAGGCATGTGCGTGGGAGCACATCTGTTTTACCAGTGGAAGAAATTGGCCCTCAGTTTATTGAGCCTCCTGAAAACTCAAGCCAGCTAACGGGGTCTCCCTGGATCCCAAGGAAGCCTCCTATGGCCAGAGACCCTGCAGCCCCACCAATGCCAGTGGAAACGTTGGGTTTCCAGGAGACAGGAGAACCATCTAGTCCCTTAAGTAGCAGTGCTGTTGGTAGGGATGCAGCCAAAGACCCTCTCTCGGCTTTTAGGGAGCAGGCATGTGCTCCCAAGGATTCCAGGTCTGTCCCAGATTTAATCAACTATTTTCTATCCCCGGAGAGACTGACAGCAGAGAATAAATACCACTGTGAGAAATGCGCTTCCTTGCAGGATGCCGAGAAGGTGGCGGAGCTGACGGAGGGCCCACACTACCTCATCCTCACTCTACTGCGGTTCTCCTTCGACCCGCGGACCATGAAGAGGAAGAAGATCTTGGACAACGTCTCCATCCCTGTGGTGCTCAAGCTGCCCGTCCTTGTCACCTCAGAGGAAACCGAGGAAATTTGCCGGCATGGGAAGGACAGGACTGCCCCGGGAAGTGGCTTTGTGTCCGTCGTGTATGACCTCTGCAGCGTGGTGGTGCATTCGGGCATCTCCTCCGAGAGCGGCCACTACTACTGTTACTCCAGGGAGTGCACCGACACCGTCCCCCATGGGCAACCCCAAGACAGGGCACCAAAACCAGCCTCTGACAAGCAGCTGGACTTTGAAATCCAGTGGTACCTCTTCAACGACACCAGGGTTTCCTTCTCCTCCTTCGAATCCGTCAGCAACGTCACCTCTTTCTTCCCCAAGGACACTGCCTATGTCCTCTTCTACAGGCAGCGGCCGGGCAGGCAGAGCTGCCTACGGCAAGGGCCCGCCCGCCTGCACGGTGAACCCTCCCTCCATAAGGACTTGATGGAAGCCATTTCCAAAGATAACATCCTCTACTTGCAGGTAACTCCAGCCGCTGTGCACAGCAGGGTGCGATCCTGCGCCTGCTGGGCTCACGGGCCACGTTCCCACCCATCCGGGCAGCAGCAGGGTTGCGTCCTGCGGATAAATCTAAGTGTGATAAATCCTGCCTGCTCCCCGAAGCCAAATCCCTTTTTCTTTTCAGCACCCACGTGTAAGCAGATTGCAAGTTCCCAGCGAAACTGGGCACTGAGTTTGGTGCAAGACACCCCGTGGCCATGCTTGGGGTTGACTTGCTGTTGCCCGCCCCAGGCAGCTCTGGGAGAAGAAAAAAATTTTTTTCTATATCTAATCAAAATCTACCCTCTTTCAGTTTAAGGGACAATGGATTTAAACTGAAAAAGGGGACATTTCAATTAGATCTAAGGAAGAAAGTTTTTATATTGAGGGTGGTGAGGCACTGGAACAGGTTGCCTGGAGAAGTTGTGGCTGTCAAATAGTAATAAGGACAAAATGTTTTATTATGAGGGTGGTGAGACACTGTAACACATTTCCTAGAGAAGTTACAGATGCCCCATCATTGGAAGTGTTGAAGGTCAGGTTGAATGGGACTTTGAGCAACCTGGTGTAGTGGAGGGTGTCCCTGCCCATGGCAGGGGGGTTGGAACTAGATGATCTTTGAGGTCCCTCCCAACCCAAACCATTCCATGATTCTATGATAAATCTTCTCCTAAGTGCCTGGGAAAGATGGGTGAGCTGGGAACAGAAACTAGAGGAGATTTCATTCAATTAGTGGAGTTCAGCGCTTTCCAAACAGCGGTGTCCTGTACAATGTGAGCAGCATGGGGGGGAGTTTGAGGGGTCCCTCGTCTCCCAGGGGTGACATTGAAGGGCTGTTTTCTGATTGCTGGAGAGATGCAATGCTGCATCCCTCCTGCCAAGCTCTAGAAATGAACACGTCCTGCTCATCTTGGTTTAATTTGGAGGAGGCTCCCAGGGGTGACCAAACAGGCTCCTGGCTCCTTGGGGAAGGTGGGAGCATCCCCCTGCCTGGGTCATTTACCCACAGATAACGGCAATATCCTTGTGTTATTTCTCCTCATTCTTTCTCCCAGGAGCAGGAAAAAGAAGCGAGGAACAGAGCCGCGTACATTTCTGCCTTGCCGAAATCCCCGCTGTGGTGGAGAGACTTTGACAAGGACAAGGATGATGACAGCTCGTCAGGGGGCTGCAGCCCGGCGGCGGGTGGGGGCGGATCCGGCTCCTTTCATGGACTCGTCTTCTAGCCAACGCGTTCAGCTGGATAATCAATGTCCACGGGGCCAACCCAAAGCCAGAGGCTCCTCTTCCTCGCCCTGATGACAGCAAGCATCTTGGAGGAGGATTTGAGGAACATTTCAATGGAAAAGGACTCAGGGGTTGATTTGGAGGCACCCAGAGGGTCCCACCGCTTCCTATGCACTTGGTCTTCACGCCTTAATGTAACTAAGCTAATGCGGAGATGAGCAGCTGCCGACATCTCAGACAAGTGCCCTTTTGCTTCAGCGTAGCCGTGTCTTGCCTGCTGTGAGCCATGCCACCAGCTTGGGGAGAGGATGGAGACAAGGGACAGGGATGAGGACAGACCCAGCAGGGCCTCAGGGATGGAGATGTCCCATCACATCCCGTCTGCAGCCCTTCCCATGGTGCTGAGTTGATTTTGGACGGATCTCTGCTTGTTGATTTTTTTTTAATGTGGTTTTAAGAACCTATCTTGGCACACCTCTAAAGGTAGAAAAACACTGAAAAGGCTGAAAAATGATGAGCAGCCAACATGGCATCACTGATCTGGTGGGGCGGTGAGCCTGCAAGCCTGTTTGGTCACAGCAAGCGATGGCAGGTTGACCAGAGGGGTTTTGTGCAGCATTGCAAAGCCCCCGAAAGAGACTGAGGGACACAAACTCCTCCAGCTGAGAGAGATTGACCTGGTCCAGTCAGGGTTCTTTGGGCTCCAACAAAGCCCCATTGCGTTACCGGTGACCTCTGGATGCTGTTAGTGTACGTGGCAGGCCCAGACACACAGCTTTTTTTCCAGACATGTCTTTAGGACTCAGTTAGCCTCTTTCTGTTGCTGTCATCTCATGGCTTTCTGGGCTGGATCTGCCCTTGAAAACTTGGGCTTTCTTTTGGGATGCCTTGAACCAAGCAGCAAATGACAGAGTCCCCCTAAACCCACTAGGTATTTTTTTTAAATTGCTGGTTTGCAAGGAGAGTAGTCCAATCAGATATGTTATATCAACCCAATATAAATATATACTATGTAAACCAATGCATTATATAAATCAGTAATGGGACAGGGGCTGATTTTGGTGGCAGGAGGCCATCTCAAGCCCTGGGCA